GCTGAGCTTTTTTTCTCTATCAACATAACTATCTGCTCTGACTAGCTAAATTTGTTCTCTGCTGATCCGGAGATGCTGAATTACCAATGCTGTATGAACTGCCTCGTGTATTTTGTGAGGCCGGTTGTTTTAGTTGGGCTCATCTGCCTCAGGAACTGCATGAGCAAAGTTTGAGCCAGGCTTAGACCACTTGTAGTCACTTCTCTGGAAATCCCATTCTCAAATGGAGGTGTCCGTTTAGTAAAATAATGGGGCAAGGGAACAGACTAGGGAGGGGAATGGTGGAATTTCTCATGTAAGTGAAAATTTCAGGCATTTAGTAGAAGCCAGAGAATATTTAAGATGTCCCTATTCAGATAGGGCATTTGTTATCTGTAACATTGCTGAGCACAGCGTACAATAATAGTCTCTTTCTTTTGCAGCCTGCCAAGCTTGCAGAAGCTTTCAAGTACTTTGTTCAGGGAATGGGATACAGTAAGTATCCATTTTTATGGAATGGTTCACTTGGCTACCAAAGTTTTTGCATCTAAGCAGCCAGAGAGTCTTCTGATCCCAGATATGTGATCTTTTCCTGTTGGATATGCACCTGCAAGGGAAAGGAAAAACACCTGCAGTGTCTGGGCAAAGGGATTTCAGACCAAATTATGTTGCTAAATAATAGAGAGTTTTGTAGGCGGCTTATACTTGCAAATACCTGCTTTACTTTGTCTTGATATCTTTAAGGTGGATATTTGTAATAGTGTCACCTCATTGCATCATAGGAGATGATTCGTATGCTGCACACAACATTTAACCTCGTTAGTTCAGAGTCTTCTTTAATTCGTAGCTGTTTTGTCCTTCATGTACGTGCTTCTGACAACTGCTGTTTTGTTGATGCATTGCTAGGCTGGGCTGCCAGCGAAGGTTAAACATCAGAGAGTAATGGGAGGTCTGATGAGTCTCTTTAGTTTTCCTCTGGCTTGTTGCAGCCACAGCGACATGCCATAAAGCTCTGTCTTTAATCCCTCAGCCCTGTCTTTAATCCCTCAGCCCTGGCCACCAATTTTGCCTTAATAATTTGGATTCCTTAACTGTATGCCTGGAGCAGTGATACTTAACGTATACATTCAACCCTGGAGGCTTCTCCAAGGGTGGTTAGGGCAGGAGAGGAAGGCAAGGGTTTCCTTCCAAGCCCATGAACCAAGGCATTAACAGAAGACTCTTCTTCCAGTCCCCTCTGCTAGCATGACCAGGCTGATGAGGTCCCGCACCGCTTCTGGCTCCAGCGTAACCTCTTTGGAAGGACAGAGGAGCCGGTCTCACACCGGGGAAGGCACGAGAAGCCGGTCTCACACCGGGGAGGGAACGAGGAGCCGATCCCACACCGGGGACGGTGGCAGGAACCGCTCCCACACAGACACGCGCATCGAGCTGACACCGAACTCGGCGAGCAACGCTGAACAATCAAGCCCCAAGTCCATGGAAGTGTCCTGTTAGATGGCTGTGGGAGGTTTAAACTGGTCACAGTGTGAAAAAGTAATGGATGCCCCCTGTGTATCACAAAAGCATAGCTGGTATTAATCTCAAGCTATTCCGTAGGATGAACTCTGTTCACCAGGGTCTGACAGGGACCAAAGAAAAGAAGCATCTCATTTGCTCTGTCGTTATTCTTGTAACTCAGACAGTCGCTGCTATTGTGCCCTCCTTCAATGGATGCCAAATTCTAAAGGATACTTGCCAAAAGTTGATGTGGTTGTAAACACTTCAGAGTCGAACCAGACTTGCTTAATATCCTCCTTTAAAATCAAAGCTGTTACATGCCCCTTTATCTCTTATTCTTTTGAAGTAAACTGGCACAATTTGAGATGAGTTTCAAAGAGGGGGAGAAAAAAAATCGCTACTATGGATGGCTTTTAAAGAAGGAAATGAAACAAATGTGTTATGGCCTCATGTTGAAGCTGGAGTCGAATTCATTGTATATAGCTTGACTTCAAATGATAGAGAAGTTAATGTATCGTGCATTTATAGGCCTTCTAATTCATTAGTATTCAAGCCTGTTTTTCCTATGTACAATAATATACTACTAAAATAGGCGATTTTAATGTGACTTTGAGACGAACTAAATCTTTAAGCTTTTTTATTTCACTTTTTTGAGATTTAGTTCCAGTCTTCCTTTCCTTCCCCCCTCCTAGACCTTAAAACCCGCTTATCCAAATGAGGACAGGATTTAAATTTAATAAGCATGGTAGAGATTCCTCTTTGGTACCTTGGGCCAAAGGGTTTATCATACCCCAAAAGTTGGTGTAACTGTAACAAGTAGGGTAGCCGTACATGCCAGCAAAGCAGAAACAGCTTGATTTTTCCTTCAGACAGTATCTTATCTTTGCAGCTCAAGTTTTTGTGTCCAGCACAATTGTGATAAATTCAGAATTCTGTAAGCAAAGCCAGATCCAGCTGTTCTTTGTCAGGAGAGATGAATAACTGTGGGATGTCATGTAATTAGATACTGTACATTCAACTGCCACTAATTACTAGATTTGAAACTCTGATGAGATCTCACTGGTGCTGAGAAGTGTATTCCACAAAGTGGTGGAGCAGCAGCACTGTATCTGTGAAATACAGTGTTAAATGACTGCAAAATGTAATGATCTGCTGGTTCTGCATCTTTACATAGCCTCCTGATACTTTGGGTTACTTTCTTTGAGGCTAGTGGCTTGATATCTTTCTGCCAGTCAGATTTTCAGTTGGGTGTTCTCAAGTTTGTCTTTCCATAGGTAGTGGGACAGGATTCCCGAGCTCCAGTGCATACCTGCTGCATTGCAGTCCTCACACAAACAAGAAAACTCAAATGCCGAGCAGTTAAATAGCAAATGTTAATACTTCGGGATTGCTTGTTCAGAAGAACACCATCTAGGTTACTTTATATTGACTAACTTCAGCTCTTGTGTAGAATATCCATAACAGTTTGTGAGAAGAAAAGACAATTTCCAGAAAGAATAAAGCTATTGTGTAAAGTCTATCAAGAAAAGTTTCTTAATGAAGTATTTGTATTTATTTCAAAACAAATAAATTTGTAACTTTGCAATGTCTGGTGTCTTAATGTCTTACCAGGAGTACAATAGTCTTTCTCAGTGGGAGCTTTCCCCTCCCCGCCCCCTACTCCAACCTACTAGTTATGCTAAGAGAGCACAACACACTTCAGTATTAGGTGTGACTGGCTATTCAAAGTACTAATTTTTCTCTAACAAATGCGTCACAAAATTAAGGGCTTGGCATAGAGTACTATTTATTTGCTGTTCGAAGTTTTCTTTTTCTCCCTCAATACAGAACTGTCTAGCACATAGATCTGTGATCTGTACCCTGACTTTCTTCCTGGAGTTGGTACCATGCTCATTGCATCTTTTCTGTTCCCAGTCTGATCTGTAAATCCATTGATGTGCGACATGTTGCTCACCAATCTCTGGAGGTTGGACTCAGACTGAAATTGCATGTGTCTCTGAGTTTCTAAAAGCTGTTCTTCTTGGATCTCTTGCAAGAATCTAAACTTCAGAGGAGAGAAAAGATTAACCCCTCACAAATAAGCTTTAAAAGGACTCCCCAAATACAAGAGGGAGAGAAATCTAAAGGTGCAGGAAATAATTAAAAAATTGCTTTATTTCTGTCCTTGAAGCAGAAGTACAGTTGTCCTTTTTCACCTTAAGCTTCTATTTATCTCTAAGGTTAGTAGCTTCTAAGGAAACTGTTTCCTGTTAAAAGATTGGGGCTTTTTGGAACTTGAGCAGTACCTACAGTACCTTCCCCTTTGCAGGGGAGCACCTCTCTACGGGTTTGGAGGCTCGAGGCTCCCTTCTGTGTGTTACAGGGGAGCTGGAAGCACTGATGCTGCTCAGCATGGGGTGATGGGTAGGAAACAACAGAGCCCAGTCACCAAAATGGCTTTGCCATGCTTTCTGCATCAGGACCTTAGTGAGAATGTTGTGCTCTTACCTAGTGACTGATGTTTTCAGGGACAGGTGAGTTTGTGGCTTTGCTGGAATTGTTTTGGGCTGCTCCTTCTTCCATCCTGCCATAGGATGAGGCAAAAGCAAATATTTGGTGTGTCTGAGCCAAAGCTCTGCTAGATGTGATGATTCAGCAGTCATGATGGGACTGATGCCAGCAAAGGGCTTGATTTGGTTAACCACAGCCTGTGCCAGTGCCAGTGAAAATGGGAAGAACTTGTGCCAACTCATCTTACAAAAGAAGGGCAAAGTTGTGTTCTTCGCTGAGCTTTTCTGGGAATGGCTGATCATTCCTTCCACAAGGACACCATGGTGTGCCTGTCAAGCCTGGGCAGTTTATTTGTGTTTAACGGGGAGGAATGCATCCAAGCATTCTGGCAGCACAAAAGGATCTGCAAGCACTTCTGAGCAGCGGGGAGTTGCTAGGATCACTATAAATGTCAGCTTTACAACAAAAAGTATTCATTTGGCAAGGAACAGTGTGTACCTGTTCAGAAAAGCTGGAGGACAGTACAGAGGAGTGGTGTCTTATGGTTTATAGGGAGTTATGACTCCTTTTTCCCTGCAGTACTGGTCTAGCATCCTTCACGTGTGCTGTAACTAAAGAGACACAAGTGCCTTGTAGTTTTGTTAGATATTTTTATAAAATCCCTTCCTAGAGCTAGCAAATGCTGAGTTCTGCGTTATTCTTGGAGACAGCATTAGCCTGGATACTGTAGTGTCATTAAACTGGAAAAGATGAGGTAAGGTTTCACCTTTTTCTCAAGGGATGAATGGCCACCACAGAGCAAGGAGCTCCTGTGGCACAGAGGAAATTCAGATTGGGTAACGGGAGGTTTCCAGAAAACAAACAGTTCACCCTTCACAGTTCTTTTGGGATTATGAAGGGTTGGAGAGGAGAATGGGCTCTCAGGGACCAACAGGCTTCCTGGTTGCATTAGTATATCTTAATAGCAAATCTTTGCTGTAGTGGTGCTCTTCAAACCCCCTAGTGGAAAGGATGTCATTGCTGAAATATGAGTTCTTTCCATCTCTGCCTGGGCCTTGATATCTACTGTACAAAAATCTGGCTAAACGTCAAGATGGCTTTCCCCGTCCCTGTCCTTGCAGAGAAGGAGTGGGAGAGGATGTGCCAATACCGTGTCATTGTGGCAGGACCTTTGTGCTGAAGGATGCTGCTTTCCTCTTTAAAAGTCTCTAGAGACTAAACAGCTGGAAACTTTAGCCTAGATGTGTTTTTGGGGGTTTATGATTAATGTCATGTGTTGCAAGCAATGGACTGAGCTGGAGACAAAACAGTTTATAGCAAAGCTGCTTATTTTTTCTCTCCAGTGCTGGAATCCTCTTCCTGCCTGCTTTTGCATCTTGGGCAGAGTATCCGTGACAATCCTCAACATGCCGGTGATGCAGTCTGTAGTTTCTACCAACACAACACATTGAGCAGTGTCTCGCAAGTGTTGTTGTGGCTTGGTCCTCCCCCTTCCCACACGCTGTCTGCTTTTTTTTTTTTTTTTTTTTTTTTCACTATTTTACACTATTTCACATTCACTGGAGCTGAAAGTCTCTCCGGGTCTGTATATATGAACAGCTGTTTTGATGTGTGGATTTAGTGTTTCCACCGAGCCAAATATAGGCTTTATGTTGATAGCTGATTGCTGCTACGCCTAATGTTTAAATAACTGAGAGAAAGGATGTCAGGGTATTTTAAGAGATCAGCCCTTCCCCCTCGGCCCTTTGTAACAGACAGACACAGGCTCTCACTGTTTCTATCTGTTGCTTCATTAAGGGCTCCATTCATTTTATAAACAACACAGCTGCTGACCAGCGCAGGGGAAAAAAAAGAAAGACAAAAAAAAACGCTTCTGCTTGCAACTGCCAAACAGTTCAATGTCTGTTCCCTGCAACCCAGCGGGGGGATCGTTTGCTCACCCAGCACCTCCCGGGTGCTGGAGGAGAGTTGTTATTGGGATGTAATTAAAGAGGAAGCCCCCCACTCCACCTGGCATATTTTTGGCACTGGTGGCTGTGGGATGTACATCGGACACTGGATGCAGGTATAACTAGGCATCTCCAGAAGAGCCCAAGGGTTGGGAAAAGGGATAGCAGGCAGCTCTTCCTTCCCAAGCAGCACCACCACGGTGAGCTGTGACCTGCAACAGAGCTGGAAAAACTATCCCTGGGTGACCCGCCACTCTCCGCGATTGCTTATGGCTGAAGTGGATTATGGTATTCAGGTCAAGGTCAGTGCGCGCAGGGGGCTGGGGGAGGGATGGGCTGTTTGCTGGGCGGTCGCACTCAGGGAGGGCTTGGGCAGCCTCAGGCGAAGCCTACATGAAAGACAGCACTCAGAAAAGGGCAAGAGCCTCCACCAGCACGGACTTTGCAGCCCCTGGCTCTGTGTGTGAGTGTACATGTGTGCACGCAGGTCCCAGGTAGTCTCAGCACCCTGCATGCAGCAAGAGGGCAGGGAAGATAGAATCATAGAATCATAGAATGGTTTGGGTTGGAAGGGACCTCAAAGATCATCTAGTTCCTGGACAGGGACACCCTCCACTACACCAGGTTGCCCGAAAACTCATCCAGCCTGGCCTTGAACACTTCCAGGGATGGGGCATCTACAGCTTCTCTGGACAACCTGTTCCAGTGAGAGGAAGATGAGGCTGCTGAGCTGGGCTTTCGTCCCATGTGGTGGACCTGGCATCAGCATAGGCCATGGCCAGCCTGCTTGTAGGGCTTGGTGAGCCTGCCCTGAGCAAAGGTGTCACTCAGCCCCTTGCACACCAGTGAGGGGCACACAGTCAGACCTCGCCCTTGCCTTACCTCAGGTCTGTGTTCGCATCTTTCCAGCTGGGAAATTGTCATTTATTCCACTGTAGTAGAAGGTGTCCCTGCCCATGGCAGAGGGGTTGGAATTAGATGATTTTTAAGGTCTCTTCTAATCAAAACCATTCTATGATATGATTCTATGATTGACTGATTGCAATGTGGTTTTGTTTATTTTTAATAACCAGTGACTAAATAAAAAAAAA